TGTTAGACTGCACCCCATAAACACAATCAAGCCTATAAAAAAACCAGTCAACCACCCCTTTAAGGAAAATAAGGAATAGTTGTGCAGCACATCAATTGTGAAAAATGCGTTTTTTAACAAACGAAACATTAACACATGTTAGACTGCACCCCATAAACACAATCAAGCCTATAAAAAAAACAGTCAACCACCCCTTTAAGGAAAATAAGGAATAGTTGTGCAGCACATCAATATATATATATATCTCAATAACACACCATACATTACTATAAAGTAGTTATTTAAAAATGTGTCATGGAGCATTTTTTCTGGCATATTCCCAAGATTTTTCTAATTTCAGCAGATATCGGAATATAATTAGGCAGATTAATGTTATATCTTATCTTCTTTGGAAAAAAATAAATGGTGACACAACTCTGCCCTAAATATCCAATTCCAACTATACTGGTAAATACATGCCATTAGAGTTACACTGTAACCAGAGCGAGTTCAGAATTTGCTGTGAAAAGATAATTCATCTGCAGCACATGGAAAGAAAATATTCTTTACTTTCAAAAGAACAGAACTTATCTTAAAAGAACGTTTGAGTAGGCTTCAATGATTTGAAATGAATGACATTTGCTGGAAGGAAAGAGAATGTTAGTATTGCTTTAGTCTTGAAGCAGTGCATCAATTAACAGTTTTTTTTTTTTTTTAAATATGTAGCCCTGTCTTATAATTAAAGGCTTTTTGCTTTGCTTGCTATGTGAGTGCCTGGATGTGGATTTTTCTGGTTTTTTTGCAATGGGATCCACTTTTTGTTTGTTTTTTCATCAATTAACAGTGTTTAAACACATTAAACATAAGCAGGGCAAATAATATTCCAAGAAATAGTTCAAGATGCATGCACACACGCACACACACACACAAATGTGCATATGATTGGTTTGTGTCGTTCTTCCGCCGCTATAGCTATCACGAATCAGAATATAGACTGTTTGGCTGCATGCAATATCTATCACGAGCCTCCCAAACATCACAAATAAACAACAGTCAAACAAAACATACATATATTATATAAAAAGGCATCCTAAAAATGAAAAGATAGAAAGTAATACGATTTCAAAGTTACGAATTATTACAAAATATATACATACAATATATACACATACATAAACACACACGCATATATATATAAACTCGTTCAACAGACCTTATATATACATCTGTGTGCATATGTATCTGTATGTACATTATGTATAGATTTCAAGCAGTGTAGTCCAGGTTTGGTATGTGGAACATCATTTCATGAAGAACTGCAGAACTGAAGTGAATAGAGAATTTATAGGAATAAAAAAAAGTGGGTAAATTGCAAATTAGTATATGATAATCAACTTAGTGATAGTTCACCCAAAAATTCTAATTCTATCATTTACTAACCCTCATGTCATTCTAAACCTGTATACATTTCTTCATATCTGAAGAACACAAAATATATTTTGAATAATGTATTGACTTCTACTGTACACACAAAAACAAAACAGACATTTCTCAAAATATCTTCATGTTCCACAAAAGGGAAAAAAAATCATGCAGGTTTAGAACAGCGTGAGGGTGAATAAATGATGACAATTTTCAGTTTTTGAGTGAACTAACCCTTAAACCACTTCAAGTCACAAAGGATCCATTGCAACCCAACTGAATGTCTCTAAATACGTGACCTGACTAGCATCGGCTGTCAATCATTATTCTTTTTATTGAGTTAGAAATACCTAAATGTATCATATGAATCAAAAAGACTATGAGAGCAATGTGGCCACGCATTCACATAACACAGTATTGTGATGGTAGCAAGTGGGAAAAAATGAGAGCGGGAAACCCACTACAACAAATGCAACCCTGTAGATATAGCTTTCTAAAAAAGAAAATCTTCTACTTCATGTCTCATAAAGTCCAATTTGCCTTGGGTTTATAGCTCTGTTGCCATGGCAGCATCCATTTCTGCTTTGTCATGATGGTTAAAGTTGAAATCCCAAAGCCACAGGCTTACCCTGGTTCTCCCTCTCTACAAGATAAACCTCCTCAATTCTTTCTCTCTTTGCCGCTCGCCACTCCTCCACTCCCTCCATCCCTTCTCTCTTCATCTTTCTCTATCCCTAAAAGCCCTGTGCTGCAGAGTTAAAGTTGTTGTTGTTTGAGCTCAAGCAGCTATTGGGGTCAACAGCGCAACCTGGAGGGCCTGGCGCCTGTCCGTCTCCGCTTCCTCCCCTTAGATCAGAGCTTCTGGCTTCTCCCTCAAAACTTTTTTCTTCCAAGGGCTTCCCGATCCAGGCGCCATATCCATGTTGGTTCAGCGCCAGGAAGAACAGCCTCTTGGCATCCTGGAATGAAGTGGCGGCCATCTTAGCGTGGGCGTAGGACGGTAGTGCCAACAGATCGGCTCGGCCTGCACGCTGGCACAAAGCATGGAAGAGACGGAACAGATTGGACTTGGAAACCCGCGATACCTCCATCTTGGGACTGGCATGAAAAGAGAAAGATAGATCGTGAACGAAAGCAGGTGTCTAGGTGTTTGGATAAATATTCAATTAGTGAGATTAGCCGGATTTCTTTTTAATCACTGTGATATATGATGGATGGGTCTGTCTCTCACCTGTCCATTTTGCCCTTGGTGCCATCCAGCACCTCCACGGTAATCTGGTCTGGATGACTCCAGTTAACGCTGGACTCTTTGGTCTTATTTGTGTGGCGTGTCGAGTCATACACACTCACCCTGCCCACCTGCACCAACAGTATAGAAATTAAGTGAAAACCAAGTAAAAACTAAAGTGTCATAGTACTAAATGCAGTGTGTTTTGTGTGAGTGTACCTCAGGGTGGTTGAGAGTAAAGTTTGCTGGTAAACTCTTTTTGAACACATCCCCGTCTCTGGCCAAACGGCAGCATACCGCTCGAGTCAGGTGACCATGGCTGTAGAGGTACCCTGAAAAAACACATATCAAAAAATAGTCTATGAATAAAGCTCGAACTTTTAAGATATTTAAATAATAATAATACATTTCCTTTTTATAGAATTTCATAAAATATATCATATGGAAATAAATTATGATTATTAAAATGATCATTCAAATACAATATATGATTAATATGTTTATTTATCTATTGTTATTAATACTATTACCAATAATAATAATTTTTATAATACATTATGATTTCAATAAAATTTCTTAAAATATATCATTTTTTAAATAATTGTAGTAATTATGAATTTTAAAATGATAATTTACATGATTTATTTTAATTTAATAAAATATATAGTATTTAAATAATAATATTTTATAATGAATTGTAAAATAATTATTTATTATATTTTAAATTAATTTAATTTTAAAACTATAGTTTTAATATAATTAATATAACTATATATTTTGTATTTTTAAATTATTCTAATAATAATAATAATAACAATAACATTTTATAAGAAATTTTAAATGATAATTATAATATATAATTATTCATCATTTTATATAATTTAATTAGTTATTTTTTACCTGATCTTTAAATCAGTTTCAATTAAACAGAACTTTAGGACTTTGATGTAAAGCCTTTATTGCAAATATAATTAAATAAATCACACAAAAGACAGTCCGTCTTGAAAACACTGCACATCAATACTCAAAGCATGGTAAAGAATGTTTACCAAGAGTGATAGAGCTCAAATAGACGGGGTGGATGAAGTGGCTAAGGAGCGCGCCCTGTAGACCGAGCACGTTCCAACGCAGGATCTTGTCGCTGCAGCTCATGGTCCTCAGGCGCTCACCATGCTGAATGCCATCCCAGGTGGGCACAATATCACTGGACTCCACTGGGATGGTACCTTCACCTGAGAAAAGGAAAGGATGGGGAATCTTAGATCATTCAATAATATACCAGAATACATGAAGAGACAAGTACATGTTCAAAGGAGAAGACTTTAACACCGTCTACAGTAGCAAACTAGGTATTAGCTGTAAGCAAGCATCTGACTTATATCGCTGTCACAATATATCATGAGGCTGTTTTTTTTTTTTACTTCCTTGTCAGCAGTGTTAGGGGTCAACACAACAGCTACCCAAGCACAACTGCCAACATCAAGTGCCGACCTGTCAAGTTAAATCCACAGGAATATGTCAAGTTAAATCCACAGGAATATGTCAGCTTACCTGCCAACCATTTTTTCTTTTTTGCCACGTAATAGCTTTTCTCCTATCCCACTAGACAATGGCAGTTTTGCCTGGCAAAAGGCCACATTCACATGGCTACAGAGAAACTCTTTGGCGAGATAACCATAACCAGATGGCACTGATGAACACCGCTGAGTGCATCTGTCTTAATCCGACAGTTAGCGCAAAAGAGTTTGTGTACCTGAGGTCCTGGAATTATGCCACAGCATGTGCATACAGTCGCTGGCCATTTAAGATCAGGAATTTCAAAGATAAATGTTATTGGATGGGTCTTTAAATTGAATGTTTGAATAAATATTAAATCATTCAGAAGATCTTGATTAATCTGAGAACGTGTATTTGTTGTATTTTTTTTTTTACCATTATTTACAGAGGTTTTTCGGTCTCTTACCATTCTCCACCTTGGTTCTGAGCTTTCCCTGTTTAACGTTCTCGAAGAGAGGCATGTGCTGAGAGCCGTTTAATTCGGCGGCCTCGTTGCACGACTTATCGAACAGAGCACCATCACCACATGGAGCAGTGCTGTGAGACAAAGAAGAGAGCACATGAAAGCAGTGTTATCCATGTTTGCAGATGAATCTCTGTTCTGAAACTAGCTCGGAACAGAGGAAGTGCATGTCTCACCTAATATACAGATGAAAGGTGATGTCAGGTTTGATCTTCAGCTTCCCATCGTCTGCCACCTCAAAAACAGTCTCATCACCAGGGCTTTCCCAATGCTTCATCAGCTCACAGTACAAAAACCTGAGCCATACAGATTTTACAAACAAGACACGTTATTTAACATACAGTGGGTACGGAAAGTATTCAGACCCCCTTAAATTTTTCACTCTTTGTTATATTGCAGCCATTTGCTAAAATCATTTAAGTTAATTTTTTTTCCTCATT